TTTAATACTAAGAATTACTCCATTAGGCCTCTTCTTTTCAGGATTAATCCACCATAAATCTAAAAGAGCAGGCTAGTATCATTACAGTCCACACTGAGAAGATAATGACTATGTATAAGAGTGAGGTTTAAGGTCTTAACAAACCTCAAAATCAGTTAGCTGAGTTGGTATCTGCACTGCCTGCCAACCCATGCTTATTACAAGATACAAGTCTCCCTCTGCCACAGGGTGACAGAGGTGGAATGCCTTCTGGGGACCAAAGAATTTAACACAATCAAGAACCCAACTGTGGAGCTGGGAGTAGTGGCTCTCACCTCTTATTCCAGATCCACAGGTGTCTAAGGTAAAAGAATCAAGGACTGAAGCCAGCTCTGGGCAAAAGTGAGACCTTATACCCCCCAAATAACCAGAGCATATGATGGTTTGGCTCATGGTAGAGTACCTGCAAGCAAGCACAAAACCCCAGTATTGCCAAAGAAATAAGAACCCAACTGACAAGAATATTCTATAAAACTGACAGTAAGCAAATTCTCACATCATATGGAAATTTTGAGGGCAGAAAAAATCAATTCTTCATGGAAATTTTTAGATTCATTAAATATGGGAAATAAAATTATTTTAAATGTGCTGTGATACAAACAAACTTACTTATTAATATACTTAAATGTACTACACTGTTTTCCCAGAAACAGGTAGTCTAGAAAATACAATGCAATCTTTGGATTTTAAGGAATTTTTCTACATCTAACTTTATTCTCCTATACTGAACAATCTAAGGTACTGCATCAGTGTATGTACACATATTTTAAATGGCACAGTATTTACTATGAATATTTTACTGAATTCATAAAAGCTACATGACATCTAATCTCTACTATGGTCACAGAAATTTTTGACTTTTTCAGTTTATTACATATTGGTGTTTTTAAAAGATGGTCATCCTCGAATGTTCACTATTTCTCCAAAATTTAAATTTTTGAGGTTGCTGCCAAAAAAAGAAAACAAAAAATCTGAACACAACACCTACATGATGTTGAACACTTCAAAAGTTAAAAAAGAACTACTATTGATCCAACAAAGTCACTACATTTATTTAAACTTTTAAAATAATCTCCATTTCAAAGATAGTATCATTGAGCTTAAGACTCGGTATCAAATAAATTGCTTTGAACTAAACCATAACTGAAAAAAGGCTAAGACCCATTCAAGGACTTTAAAGTTATATTTTAGAATATTTCAACTAATTAGAAATGAATAAATATTAATGTTGTACTTAAAACTCAAGTAATGCTTTTCAGACAGTAGTAATAAAGTGGTCAATGGCTCCAAAGTTTAAGAAGACTGATCCAACCTAGATTATTTAAACTTGTAATAAATAGATGTATTTTCTTGGAAAAATATCTATTGTTATAGTAAAACTTGAGTTTCCTTTCTAACAAGATTGTATGATTACTCGTTTATATTGTTCTTTCCGCAGGAATCTACACACCCCCTGTTTGCATCCTGTTATTCATTGTGAGCTTCCCTTCCCTTCTCTATGCTGTGTCCCTAACAGTGGAAGAGTGGGGAATGAACAGAAAATCTAAGCACTGTCAGCCCACTCCAAGTCTCCCTGTTCGCATTAAGCCTATTCATGAGATACTACGTTCAAATTTTCATTCTCTTATGCTCTGAAACATTGTATTATGTTCCCAGACTACTAGTGGTCTACAGGAAACATAAGGATCTTTTTGTTTTTTAATGAATTTTTTCTCCCTACCTGTCATCTGACTTTATGTTCATTTATTGAACAATCTAGAGCACTGCTTGAGATTTATGACACCAGTAAGGCTCACCCAAACACATTTATTGTCTTAACATTCCGTATTTAGAGTCTTCCTTCAAAAGGTAAAGAAAGCCATATATAGCTAAAGGCACTACCACACATTATGTGACATACTTATTAAAATGTTGTCTCCTGAGTTTTACATAAAACTGATTGTATCAGAACATATGAGGAATGCTCTAATAGGCAATTCTTTGAAAGTAACTCCTATGTACACCAGAGTTAGGAAGCAATAATACAAAGGATATAAAACTAAAGATCATATAGTTAATGAAGGAATGATTCAAATATGTAATGAGACTATTGTCAAATACACTGAACCAGAACAAAAAATAAATTGAGTAATAGTTAAAAAATACTTTTAACAAGAATTCCATGATGAGTCCTCTTGAACTCTAACATTCTCTCTGTGGTAAACTTTGGAGTCTGCTTTATTTGAGGCACTGAGTAACACAGGTCTAATCATGCATATGTGTGGGTATCTACATCTACATATGCAAGTATGATGTACATATTAAACATATGTATGCAGAAATTTGTATTTACACTGGCAAACATGTATCTATCTAAAGTTAGTGATTATGTTAGTACTCTAAGGAACTTCAGTTCTGATCTCCTACCCTTCTTTAAAATTTTCATTTTAACAGTATTTTTATAATTAAAAAATATAAAATTTTTTATTGTAATTGATTTTTTTTTTTTGGTCAGTCGTGGGTCTTGAACTCTGGGACTGGGCGCTGTCCCTCAGGTCTTCCGCTCAAGTCTAGTGCTCTACCACTTGAGCCACATGACCACCTCCAGTTTTCTGGCGGTTAGATAGAGATGAGTCTCACGGACTTTATTGCCCAGGTTGGCTTTGAATTGCAATCATCATATCTCAGTCTCCTGAATAGCTAGGATTACAGGCGTGAGCCACCAATGCCCGGCTGATTTAAACTGATTTTGAGACAAGGTCTTCCTATACAGCCCAGGCTATCCTGAAGTTCATGATTCACCTGCCCCAGCCTCTTATGTGTTAGTATTATACGGATGTGTCACCAGGCTCAGCTTCTGTACTCCCACCTCTAAAGAATGTACAACCTATGCACTGTTTTTCTTTTTAACATATATATTTCATATACATGTTTAAATATATGTGTATGTGTAAATATATATATATATATAGAGAGAGAGAGAGAGAGAGAGCTATCTACCATAGAGGAGCAACACAAAAAGGTAAAGTGACTCAGTTAAGAAGTCTTTACCACAGTCAAGAATGAAGGTCACCCTGGCCTCTAAATGTAAGCTGTCTTAGGTCAGAGACATCTCTTAAGTCATGGAATCCCACACTACAGTTGAGCAGTAGCCACAGCATATAAGTAAATGCTAAGGATAGGGACAGCATTTTATGCAGCTAGACATGAGTTCAAGATGACAATATACAACAGTGACTCATACTTTAACATGCAAGAATTTAGCCCCACAATCAATGTGATACCACAGGTTTAGAGTGAGGTTCAAGAGTTAGCATTTCTAACAAATTCCAGGTATGCTGATGCTGCTTGTCCATGGACTATGCTTATTAAAACCAGAGACCTAAGGAAAGGTCCCAAGAGCTTTCTATATTAGGGTTCCCGGGGGAAAAAAAAGAACTGAAATATGGTAAGGAAACGTAATGTAAGGAATCTGGAAACCTGAGTTTAGTTTCAACTCTATCACAAAATGATGACATGGCTGATAAGCATACAGTCATAGGTATACTATTGAATGCTGCACAAAGCATCTCTAAGATGAAGAGTTCAGTAGGAAGACATTGAAAATTTAAATGCTTTTTGTACAGATTAAAGAATATTTAAGCATCTATTAAACTTAAAATATATAATCATCCCTGCAATCACTACTTTGAATTAATGTATATTAGGCAGACTAAAACTGTTAAACTACAGTCCAAAAGAAATAACATACCAGCAAACAAATAAAATATGCATAGATGACACACATCAAATCAGGTAAACATAAATCCAAAGGGAAAATAATCATATTACAATACTGTAGCTATAAATCACAAAATCAAGCATTCTGCAAATGTCTAGGGACTTCTTTAGATGGTATCATCTGAGAACTTGTTAGACCACACCTAAACTTACTGCATAAGAATCTGCATCTTAACCTGATCTGTAAGTGGTGAATGAACACACTGATGTTTTACATACACTGATACATATCACTGAGATTTCATTATTAAATTCCTTTACTACAGTTTAAAAATAAAAATGCAACATTTAAAAAAGAACATTTCTTGAAAAATCTGTTTTTGACTATAAAAAACAAGAAAAATTATGAATTTTTTGCATGAGAAAAATCATTGAAACACTATTTTCAAACATATCTCCTATTTAAAATACTCTATGATGAATATTATATAATTAAACGGTAACAAATGTCACCTAGACATTTAGTTTCACAGCAAAGTTGAGAGCTGAGGTATAGGATGGTACCTAGTTTGAAGTTAGTTGGTCAGTGGCACAATGAAGAATGAAATTCAGTTTTGTTAACTCCAATGGGGAAACATTTTAAATTATATTTTCTTGCAGCAAACATACATTAAAAGATTAGAAATAAGTACAATTTTTAAAGGATAAAAATAGAAAATGAAGTATCAATTTATACTTTTGTGTGTGTATATATGCCAGTTCTGGGACTTGAACTCAGGGCATGGGTACTGTTCCTGAGTCTTTTTGCTCAAGGCTAGCACTCGATCACCTGAGCTACAGCTCCCCTTCTGGCTATTGCTGGTTCACTGGTGATAAGTCTCATGACTTTCATGCTCAGGCTGGCTCGGAACCACAATCCTCAGGTCTCAGCCTCCTGAATAGCTAGGATTACAGGCGTGAGCCACCAACACCTGGCTTATAACTTAACATTCTTATGTGTGTTTTATTCTTGCCTTCTCAAATAAGATATCAAACTGGAAGAAGGAAAACTTCAATCAAAAATACATTAATTTGATCACAATTTCTAAATATATGATTTTCAAGGAATGATGACATATATAATTTAAGTGGTTACATCTGTTGCATGAATGAAACTGGAAAACTGATAAAATCAGGGATAATTATAAATTTGACTTTGTCACAATTTTTCTATGCATCAATAAAAACGTCGCATATTGTAGACATATTAAACCTTGACATACCGTCAAAGAAGCTCTTGGCTCTCAGATAACTAACACTGAGCCTAAGTACAGAAAGTTTGTCAAGCTTATTAATAACATCTTGTGGAAAAGGTAGCAGGCTAGCCAAACGGTCCAATTCTGTATTAAGTCGGTCTCGATGTCGCTTGGAAGGATTTGACTTGATTCCTTCAGCTGGAATTGGCTTTACTCTGAAAAGCAAACAAAGTAACATGAAAATCCTATCGAAAACTTGAAACAACGATTTCTATTGCATTATAATGTATTCTTAACTATTTTTCTAATATAACAAATTTTAAAAATCTACTTCAGTTTATAAGCAATTCACCGAAATCTTCCGTGCATATCCTAATTAAGAAAAACAAAGAAAATGGCAAAAGTCATGCTTTATTAAAATGCTTATTAACTCATTACAGGAAAATTCTAAATACATCTAGTAGTTCGTGTATGTGTGTGTGTGTGTAATGCACATATGCAGTTTAGTAATTCCCAACTAATGAAGTCTATTATGAATTTTTCTCCCTCAAATACAGACATTGATAGAAAAGGATAAAGACATGTACAATACATTAGGTAAAACTCAAGCTTCAGTTGCTATATTCCTCACAAAGCATATCATCATTATGTTGCAAAAAATATAAAAAACTTAAATGTTTATCTTTAAAATTCCCAGATTCCTATCTCTATAAACTTTTATCCCACTTAATAATGCCTTCCTAAGCTGTCTCATATCTGAGGTTGGTCTTCAGGGCATCTAATACAGACCTTAAATTCAGTAAGAAAACTAAATTTGACTCTATTCATATTTGTTGGATAATAAATATTATAGGTTAATTGGAGAGTTTTTTCATGACTGAGCATATTTCTACTTAATTATTATCATTCATAGCATTGTGTCTCAATGAAACCCAAAAAATGTAGCATGAATGTCATCTAAGAGAAAAGATATTGCTGGGCACCAATGGCTCATGCCTATAATCCTGGTTACTCAGGAGACAGATCTGCAGCTCACTGTTCAAAGCCAGCCCAGGCAATAATGTCTGTGAGACTCATCACCAATTAACTACCAGAAAATCATAAGTGGAGCTGTGGCTCAAAGTGATAGCATGCCATGCTAGCCTGGAGCTAAAAAGCTCAGTGACAGTTTCCAGGCACTCCCTGAGTTCAAGCCCCATGATGGACAAACAAAAATAAGATATTTATGGGTAGGACAGAAATCTGAGTTCAGAAAAAATCAGATTCTTCACACAAAAAGGCTTTCCAATATTTTATAGCAGAAATTAAGTTCTTAAAATGATTTTACATATCATGTTACATTTTATCGTGGCATTAGATGCCATAGTATAAATCAAAAACATATTGGAAAACTGAACACATTTTATACTCTCATCTCTATACCCTCTCAAATCTCAGAGGACTCTTAGAACAAAGACATTTTTGACAGGGAATATTGTTTTGTAAAGTAAAATAGCCTGTGTATGAAACTATTAATTTGATTTAACCAAAAGATTTCTAGATAGCTTATATTTTCATGACATGTGGAGAAGAAATATTTTACTGAGAAAGATCGTGATGCAGAGTAAATCAGGAATATTAATATATTTGTTATTTTCCCTAGGCAAGTAATTTTTTAACACTTGAATATTTCCATTTTCTTTTTTACATTTCATGGTTTTTTTTTCCATGAAACAGATAACTGATTCTGTGATATACAGATAAAAGTCAATACTATATCCAGACTGTGTATATAACACTTAATAGACTGTGGTAACTGTTCCCTAGCTACTTCCCGCTAATCATATTCAAATAATAAACATATTCAAATCACAACTAATTACTACATTTCAATTTACTAACTACACAATGTATGTCTTACCTTACTGTGTAATTCTGTACTGGTTAATAACTTGTTAAAAAATAGTTATTTGCACCAAATCCTGGTCAGCCAAGAAAACCACTCATATTCAAAAAGTGAGAGTAGAGGTACATTCATGTTCACTGTAGCACTATTCACAACAGCAAAGCTACCGAGACAGCCAAGACACCCTATCCTGATGAATGGAACAAAAAAAAGGTGGTGTGTGTGCGTGTGTGTGTGTGTGTGTGTGTGTGTGTGTGTGTGTGTGTGTGTGTGTTTGATATACCATAGTGCATTCCTTTGAATAAATAACATTCACTTTAACAACAATGAGTATTTGTCCTATCTTGGGTATGGGTGTAGTTGAGGAGAATGGACGAATGGAAAGAGTAAAGGAGGGTGAATGTGGCCAAAATACTTTATGTACCTGCATGGGAAGGGGAAGGAGGAAAGAGAATGATCAAGATTCATTATATGCAGGAGTGGACATGCTGAAATCAAACTCCCTAGCACAACTAATTGAGGCTTGAAAAAAAAAAAAAGTGTTGTGAATGGCTGAGTAGAAAGAATAACTGCTTGAAAAAAGATTTCACCAAAAGTTGGTATCTGAAATCGATCTTGAACCAGATTTCATGAGGGAGTATAACTAGGGATGGTAAACTGTTAGAAATTTCTTGTTTGAAGGTGAAGCAAGAAAGAAAAGAAAGAAGACAGAGAAAGAGGGAAGAGGGTAATATCAGGCCCATTCTTTCAACAGACAGTGAAAACCCACTATGTGACAGGAACAGAACAGTCACCAGTGAACCAGACATACAAAAACTCCCGTTCTCACAGACCTTATCTTGGATGACAGAGAAATAGATAAAGAGACATACAGCTAGATTTTCCAGCTGATGAGTATTAAGAAAAATGAAGCAAGGTAAGGAAGAAGTAAGCACTGATGGAGGTGCTGCATTTGACTGGCAGAGCATGTATCTCAGTGCAGATTTGAATGCAATATAGGAAGAGCCATGAAGATGCTTGATAAAAGACACAGGAGAAACAGCGAGCTTCCCCAAAATCATTGTAGGAAACTGGACATTGGTGTCTGGGAGTCGTGGTAAGCTCTGAGCTGGACCTGCACCCTCAGGCCTGGTTCGTTGTTGTTGTTTTATTTTTTTAATCAAACTGACTTTGGTGACTGAGAATATAAAAAAAAAACAGGGTAGGGTTTCCTAAATTTAAGATTCGGTCACCAGTGACTATATCACTCCTCTATTAATATCTTACAGCAGCCTGGGGCTTGTCCAAACTAGCTTGGCAAGACCGCTTCGCAAAGGTCTTTCTAGCCTATATCTATCTACCTGACTGGCTTCACTGTGTATAGCCAAAGTCTTCTTTGTCCATTCTACTCCAGAGCTATAATGTTTCTGATACCTATTAACATGTATTTCTGTGCTTTTAGGAAATCTGGTTCTGTCTTATCCATTTCAAATCCTTGCTCCAGATTTCTATGGTCTTTGGCTTACAATTTGGATAGCTATCCAACTCCATATGTCTTCTGAGTCATACACAAACGCCTAGTGTACCATTCCATTATGAAATATTCTATACAAAAAACTTTGAAAATGCTTATTCAGTTCTATTCCCTTTGCTTTTTAGTTTGTTTTACAGACAGAATGCATCACTTTTGCCTAGGTTGGTCTTGACCTACCAGCTACTGCCTCTACCTTTTGAGGAGCTGGGATTACAGTCACCGTAACACTTAGCCCTCGTCAAGAACTCCTGGTATTCTTGCAGTAACGATCATGAGCGATTCTGGAGGAGAATAATACAAATACTCCAGAGAGACAAGCTGATATGGAATAAAAAGTAACAGTAACTTAAATGTTATTTCTCTATGTAGTACACTGTCTTGTCACTGTACTGTACTCAATCTGGAACTATAATCCGAGGCTGGTTCTTTATACTATGTGTAACCATCTACTTCTTTCATGTATTTTTGTTACTTATGAAGCATTTAGCTTGAAATCACATTTCCAAAATTTAAGTATTAAGTGATCTAACTACATAGACTGTAAAATGTTGATGGAGTAAAGAAGTATCTGTGGCTCAATTTGTAGAGCAAAAATAGCCTTGAGAAAAAGCTTAGGGCCAATGTCTTGGCCCTGAGTTCAAGCTGCAAGACCGGCACATATACAAACTCACAAAAAGTATTTATATCTGAAAATAAATTATTTGAATAATAATCATTGAAAACAAGTTTTTACCAGGTGCTGAGGGCTCATGCTTGTAATCCAAGCTACTCAGGTGTCTGAGATCTGAGTATTTTGGTTCAAAGGCCGTCTGGAATATAAGACTCTGATCTCCAATTAACTGCCGGAAAACCAGAAGTGGAGCTGTGGCTCAAAATGGTACAGCACAAAAACACTCCTCAACAGAAAGAACACTGCTGGAGGAATGTCAATACCAAATTTCAATCTCTACTATAAAGCCATAGTAATCAAAACAGGTTGGTATTGGCATAAGAACAGACCTCAGGATCAATGGAATAGAATTGAAAATCCAGAAATGAACCCACAGACCTATAGCCATCTAATCTTCGATAAGGGAGCTAAAACAATAGAATGGAAGAAAGACAGCCTCTTCAGTAAATGGTGCTGGCAAAATTGGTTGACTACTTGTAGAAAACTAAAGCTAGATCCTTATATATCACCCTGCACCAGAATCAACTCCAAATGGATCAAAGACCTCGAAGTCAAAGCAGACACTCTGAAAGCATTACAGGATGGAATAGGAGAAACCCTAGGTCTCCTTGGCTCCGGCCGAAATTTTCTGAATAGAGACCCAGAAACACAACAAATCAAAGAAAGGTTGGACAAATGGGATTGCATGAAGTTGCAGAGCTTCTGCATAGCAAAGGACATAGCTAGCAAGATCAATAGAAAGCCCACAGATTGGGAGAAGATCTTCACTAGCCATACAACGGACAAAGGTCTCATATCTAAAATATACTTGGAACTCAAAAAATTAAATCCCCCAACAACAAATCCTCAAAGAAACAATTGCCCAATAAATAAGTGGGCGAAAGACTTGAAGAGAAACTTCTCTGAAGAAGAAAGAAGGATGGCCAATAGACACATGAAGAAATGCTCAACCTCCCTAGCCATAAAAGAAATGCAAATCAAAACAACATTGAGATACCACCTCACCCCAGTTAGAATGGCTATAATCAAGAACTCTAACAACAACAGATGCTGGAAGGGGATGTGGACAGAAGGGAACCTTACTTCATTGTTGGTGGGAGTGTAAACTTGTTCAACCACTTTGGAAAGCAGTATGGAGGTTCCTCAAAAGACTTCACATAGAGCTCCCCTATGACCCACCAATCCCACTTTTGGCATTTACCCAAATGTTTACAAACAAGACCACACTAAGGCTACCAGCACAACTATGTTTATTGCAGCATTATTTACAGCTAAGATCTGGAACCAACCCAGATGCCCCTCAGTAGATGAATGGATCAAGAAAATGTGGTATATATACACAACGGAATTCTATGCCTCCATCAGAAAGAATGACATTGCCCCATTTGTTAGGAAATGGAAAAACTTGGAAAAAATTATATTAAGTGAAGTAAGCCACCCAAAGAAACATAGGTCCCATGGTTTCCCTTATTTGTAATATCTAGTATATGTATGAGTCAAGCGGAAAAGGTCAGATAATGTGATGTTAGGAAAATGAACCCTTAGATATGTATTTTAATGCTTTTTTATTTCATGCATTTGTTTCTAACACATTTATAAGATTATCTCTTTGTTGCTTTGTATGTCCCTCCCCCACAGTGTAACCCCTGCTTTCACCATATTTGATGTCAGTATAACTTGTGGAGGAGATGGGGAAAAACAAGTCATTTAAGGATACAGGTGGACCTGTTGCAACAATGAGAAGTACAAGTTGTCATGTCCAAAACGAGCTTTACAACGTTGGTGCTGGGGGGGGGGGGATTGAGTGGGGGGATAGGGGGGAGGCTGGGAAGGGATGTGAAGGGTAAACAAAGGAGGCTGCAATGCTTGATAAGAAATGTATGCATTATCCTGCCTATGTAATTGAAACCCCTCTGTACAGTATGTTCACACACAAAAAAAATAAAATTAAATAAAAAAAAATGGTACAGCACTAGCCTGAGCAAAAAGAGCTCAGGAATATAACCCATGCCACGAATTCAAGCCCCATGACATACAAAAGAAAAAAAAGTTTTCAAAAGAGAAGTAGGTAGCAAATCAAAGATCTAAAGAGGAAAGCATGAATGACAAATATGAGATGAGCAAGTACTAGCCAAATATGGGAAACAGCAAATAGGTTCTTTCAGCCACTATTAGATGGCTAACAGGGGAAAATAGGAAATCTCTAGAAGCCACAGGGCCCCCTATGAGTCAATGATGTTCACCTGGGTTTACTGTGAAGTTAGTAAAAAGGTGAGGTTTGGAGCCAAAAGATGTGTCCTCCAATATCTAATCGAAGATTTTTACTTTCTTCCTGGGTAATTTTTAATGTGAACCATGGGTCCCCATCTATTAAACCTAAATACAATATTCTTTGTACTACCATAAATATGAAATAAATTATGTATATAAAGCACCATGCTCAATACTAAGTAGTATGAGAGTATGTGCAAATATAGACAATAACTTTGTTATGCTAAACCACCACACAAAAAATGCTTTTAAATGTGGAAGTAGATAGATAGACTGTGGTTAAAGATCTCATGGTACTTATGTCTAAGTAACTGTCTTAACTAAACACATGGACAAGCACAAGCTAAGTAAGTTTATTCATTGGGGAAGTAAAGTGGCATGCTTTGGCTGTAGCAGTAAGAACATAACTATATACTCCCTCTTACTGTTTCACAGAAGTCTTTGTGCCATGGTATGTAAGCTAACAGTATTGAATGAACAGAGCTATGTTTCCATCTCCCTGGTATCTTGTACAATGTTCACATTTATAAAGTGCTTATGTTTTAGTAATTTCAGTTATAACAGAAGCAGTGCAGTAGATTGTCCTGTTCTATCCACAAAGGACCTTGACCAAATCCGCAACATGAGGGAACTTTTGTTAGTTTAAATTCAGTCTTCTTTGGCCATTTAATGCTGTCTATATCTAAACACTTTCACTTACTTCACTTCATCACTTGCATTGTGTAGGAGTTCCCCAAGCTACAATGTATAAACTCTTAAACATAGCTACTTGAAAGAAAAACAATGATGAAACTTCAAAAATTATTTTGTAACTGAAAAGACTCATTAGTAAGCATTATATAATGGAAGTAACAAAATTCAGTAGTTTGTATTACATATACAATGTTTAAGATGTTGAAATAGAATAAAATGAAATTCAGCACAGTCAGAAAGACAATGCTTTTATATTATGCTAATATTAGCAGTATTTTAATAACATAAGAGTTTTAACAGGAGATCAACTAATGCTCCAGTCCTGACATCTCTTGAAAGCTAGCTTTATTGTCACTATTGCCGGTATTGTCTTTAGATAATACCATTTACAGATGCCATTTATCTAGTACAAAATACTTGCCAAAATTAAGTGCTAACTTTGTAGAAGTATGGTAAAATGAAATAGCATTAAGACATTTCAGCTATTAACAAAACTCCAAACTATAATCAAAGCTATTATCACTAGCAATAAAAAAAGCTTCTATTAATTCTAGAATGGGTTTTCAACTATCTTTGTGAAACAAAATAAAAATACATAAAGCATCCATCTCTAAATAGAATAAAACAAGAACAAGATTTAAGGAAAAATTTTTACTTTTTTTGAGCAGATTTACTAAATATAGATCATTCAAAAACCAGCTTTGAAATTTTCTTCTTAAAGAATATGGATTTCATGCAAGATTGCTTCAGATACTTTAACTTGCTTTATTCTAAAGAGAATGGAAACAGTCAATCTACTATACAAGAGGTACTTTCCTGAAATTAAACACATTCAAAATACATTCTTGTATAGGTAATTTTTCAATGTGAGACCTGCCACTAGAGGGAGTTTCTTTTGCTCAGTATTGAAAGAGCTTCAAGTTAAAATTGTGTCATCCTATCTTATTCTCTAATCTTATAGAATCATATATCTGAATAGCCCCTTTTAAAACAGTTCCATAATTATACTGTCATATATCTTCTCTGTAAGTAAAATAAAATGTCACTTAATGGGTCAACGTTAAGTAGATCTGAACAGCATTTTCAGCTTAAGCAAGATGTATTTTCCCCACTGTTGGCATGGCTTAGGCCTCATTAGCCACACACTAGTAGTTTAATTTAGAGACTCCTTTTAAAGTTTAATAGCCTCATTCTTAGACTTAACTTCAAGGAACTTCATTATAAAGTCGGTTATTGTTCCTTTGGGTAAAAATAAGTTAAAACATTCTCACTTGGTAATGTAACTACCAACACAAGTCTTTTAGTGACATTAAAGTATGATTAGAAGCAATGAATGTTGCTCAATAAACCAAAGATAGTTCTCAAATAAACACCTACCTAAATAAAATAAACAAGGAAAATATGATAGATATATTCTAAGGAATTATTAAATACAAGTATAATAAAGCCTGAGGAATCAATGATATTTTTAATAGAAGCACATCTTACTTAAAAATGTAGTAAAGTAAAAAGGCAAGGTGTTTTTTCATATTAACTAGAAACCAAAAATATTAAACTTATGATGAAAAAAATTACACTTATGTTGAACATAAAATTAAACTGACTCTGTATATAAATCAATTAATCTTTTTTATAACATACTGTCTGAAACTCAAGTGTCTTAAAAAAAATCTATCATGGAGATTCTTAAGATTTTTTTTTTGTCCATACACCCGTGATTACCTCTACTATATATTGTTCTAAAAACATAGTTGTATTAATAAATAAATGCACTAGGCATTGGAAAAATCTGTTTTAACCATCAACAAAGTCTATTTAGATACACATATTTAAATGATAAGCAGTATCACCAAGATAGGAAATTGCTAACTGAGCAATATTCTTGTTAATAGATGTACCATGAAACTTCCAAATTTTAATCAAGCTAGTAAGCATGAGCATTCCGTTAATGTCAATTTGTAAGTCCAGATCAGAGGAACTACAATAGTTGAAATTCTTAATACTGCCTAAAAAACAATGCAACGTATAAGATTTTAAGTAACTGAGCTGTTATTTTTCTGGTTCACATGTAGTATAGTCCAATGTTGGCAAAACGCACACTTTTTATTTCCTCTGTGTAAGCATTTAAATGTTTTTTTTTAATTGTTTAGAGAAACTTGAAAAACATTGATGAGAGAAAGAAATTCAAAAACAGTCATTGCAAATCCATTAATACACTTATGTCACAAAAGGAAATGTCTCCAGTGTGATTCTTTCCTACAAAATTTTTGAAGTGTTTCCTATCACATAAATTACTCCACCAAAACGAACAAACAAAAAAAGAAGTTTGCTCATCACTCTACTAGAATTGACAAAAATTCTGAATGGAAAAAGAAATTACAGGTAGATACTAGGAGTAAAAAATTTTTTTCTCAATAAATTTCCAACTCTAAGTCTTCTAAGCCCATATACAAAAAGAAAAAAAGAAAACTTCCCAAAAAGAAGATTAAAAGTACCACCAAATCCTCCACTGTGACATACCAAACCACTGAACTCTCCTTCCTGCTACCATCCTTACACACCTCACTTGGATCACCACCAAAAAATAAGAAGAATCACTGCCTAATAAGTAAATTAGAGCTCAACAGAAATCCCAGTTGCTATGGACAGAAAAAATACCTTTCAGAAACCCTCAGCCCCTTCCTTCACCCCCACCCCAAACTTTCTACCCAGAATCATAATCAAGGCTGTCCTCTAAGCTACCTAACCCACGGGATATTTCGGGTGGTGAGGGATTGCAAGGCAGGCTTAGGCTAAGTAATCCAGGAGCACCCACAAGGCAGGCCGTATGGACATGTGTACGGATGTGCATCGGAACACGCATATACACATACATACATGTACATATGCGCCTATATATTTAGAGTAAGAACTGAAAACGGGAAAATTCACGTCCTGGGTTTCCACAACTGTCCGGCCAGCCTCAATCTCGCGGGCTAGGTGCAGACCCGACCGGATTCCCCCACGGGATGGCGGGGATGGGTGGGGGGGTCGCGCCGCCCGCCCCGCGCGCCCGCGCGCACAGCCCCCCCCCCCCCCCCAGTCCACTCGGGTCACTCACGTTTTCTGCACCGGCTTCCGCCGCTTGCGACTGGCATAGGTGATGTTGGCGCTGCCGCTGTTCATTGTGTCCAGACCCGCGGCGGCTCCCTTCTCAGGCACGAGCAGCCCGGTGTCCCGGACCCAGCGACGGCCGGCGCCGCGTCCCGAGGAGCCGCGCCCGCTCCACCTGCGTCCGCCCGGGAGGGAGCGAGGCCGCCGCGCCCCGCGCGCCCGGCTCCCGCAGCCCGCGCGCGTCCAGGTGAGCCGCCCGGGCCTGGCGCGGGGGGCCGAGGGGCGGAGACCCGAGAGCCGAGAGTCGCAGGTGCCGTCCACGCCCCGCGAGGCGGCGCGGGCGGCGCGGGCGCCTGGGCGAGTACTCGGAGTCCGGGCCGGGGTCGCGCACGGTGGCGCCGCGCCCCGCGCCCCGCGCCGCGGCCCCGAGGGCGAGGGAGGCGCCGAGGTGCTGCTCCCCGGGCTTCCCGGGTCCCCGGTGCTTCCCGCCGGCCGCAGTCCCGGCTGCCACTTGCTTCCGTCCGGTCACAGGGCTGCCCCTGGGTTGGCACTGGCGGGGCCCCGGCACGTTCTCGGGACCCGACGTCGAACGGACTCGGCAGACGCGGCCTCCCGCCGCGGCGCGCACCAGCTGAATAACAGAAGCGCCCCCGACCCCTCGCCGGCCCCGCCCCGCCTTGATCCCTCGAGGCCCCGCCCACGGACTTAGTCCCGCCCACATTGCTTTTCGATGAAGGGTCCTCCCTTACTTCAGGACGTAATGACGTAAGGCGTCATGGCACCCTTCGGTAGCCATCTTTGTGAGGTCCAGCGGGGGCTCCCTAGGTGGACTTGTGCCCTAGCTGGGAACGAGATGTGGCAGCAAATCACTTCTAGACAAACTCTTTGTATCCAGGCTGTGTCGAGATAGGACAAGCACTGTAACTGGAGTCAGCTAACTTGTGGCCAAGAATACAGAAAACTGGAAGATAACCAGTAGTACTGTGAGTGTTTGGGGTGGTTGGTTGGGTCTTAAGAATTCTTGTGTTTTTTTAATTGCATTTATTTGTTTGTCTGTTTGTTTGTTATTGCTGGTCCTTGGGCTAGAACTTGGCCTGGGCGCTGTCCCTGAGATTATTTTGCTCAAGGCTTACACTCTACCACTGGAGACACAGCTCAACCTCTGGCATTTTTGCTGATTTATTGGAGATAGGAGTCTCATGAACTCTCTTGCCCAGGTTACCTGGAACTGTGATCTTCCAGTCTCAGCTTCCTGAGCCACCACCACCTAGCTATTTTTCTTTTTAAATTATATTTAAGTAATTATACAAAGGAATTTCAGTTCAAAAAATAAATGTTAAGTGCAATGCATCTTGGTCAATGTCTCTTTCTGTACCTATACCCTCAAGTTACAGGGTTCCATTTTCATCTGTGTACATCGCATATTATGATTATATTCACCTACCATTCTTCTCCAACTGACACTTTGAATGTAAAGGTAGTGAGGAACCTTCAGAATAGCTTTCCTCTCTCTCTCTCTTTTGTATCATCACTACAATAGACAATACAATACTCTCCACTTAGAGTTTATAAGGAAGGAAGAGTTGAAAGGAAGCATAGGAACATTTAGGGTAAGCATTTAGGGAATGAGCTACTTGGGGTACTAAGTAGTCTAGCATGATTGAAGAGAAGTTGGATTCACATTATTGCTGGAATAAGTAATAGAATTGGAAAGAAAACAGGAGATGATGCACAGAAATTTTAGGAACATACCTTACAGCCTTGATGAAGAGTCTAGATATTATTCTGTGAGCAATAGAAGACTAATAAAGGTATCCATTATTTAAGTAACCTTCTGAGGTCGCGGAAAAGTCACTCTGGGAATAAGATGCAAACTATTCCTCAGGAATAAGACTGATTGCAGAGTTAGGAAGTTATTTAAGAAGTTGATGAAATGGTCTAATGGATAATCGAAGTAGTAGGCCCAATAGGATAAGAGAAGACATTGCTGATGATATCAGAAATGGGCAATGAGAGCGTGAGAGAGTGAAAACAAGAATGACTTCAACAGTTCTAATACTACCTGTTCTGTTAGCCAAGATAGTTAATATGGAGAAGTATGTTTGCTTGTAGAAGCCAGATGGCACCCAGATTAAGAAAAAAATTCCTAAATGATATGCAAATGCATATTTAAAAATAGCTTCAGAAGCTAGATGTTAATGTCTTATGCTTGTAATCCTAGCTACTCAAGGAGGCCGAGATCTGAGGATCGCAGTTCAAAGCCAATCCTAGACTGGAAAACCCTGAGACTCTTATCTCCAAATAGCCACCAAAAAGCCTTAAGTGGAGCTAAGGCTCAAGTGATACAGTGCTAGACTTGAGCAAAAAAGGCTCAGGAGCAGCCCTCAATCCCTGAGTTCAAGCCCCAGAACCAGCATGTACACACACACACACACACACACACACACAGTTTCAGGCCATTCCATGTTGGGCCATTAATTTGGCACCTAAAACTCAGTGTGTTACAAAAGTTAAATTCATAATTTATAGACATTCTATCATTGACCTTAATATTCTCCATATTTTCTTCAGACTAACCTAAGAATTATCTTAAATTCCTCTATAACTAGATGACAGATAGATAGATGTACTGAACTTTTATAGTATCCATAATTCATTTCCTGCACCTGTTATCTAGTAATAGAATGTTCAGCTCAAATGCCAACTCATTCAGGACTCTTTAGCTGATAACACACACACACACACACACACACACACACACACACACACATATCATTGTCTTGTATATATTAATATCAAAAGATATTATGGGAGTACTTTTTATGTGCCAAGAATCACTAGAGAGTGACAAAAAAACCCCAAATATATCACATTCCCAGTCATTAAGAACATAAGGAATGTCATAAATATTAGGATGGGAAAGTATTCAAATCTGTATTATATAGTGAAGAATTCCGTGTTATGTAGTGGATTAAGCTGATCAAGCATAGAAAGATTTTCCCTAAGAAAATGGTTAAATCGAAGTCTGAATACTGAATACTGAGTATTTCTTCTGGCAGGAAGTAGCCTGAAAATTATGAGGAACTACAAGGAGTTTAGTATATTCAGAAAGAGACATCAAACATGTTTCAAAGAATCACCACATCTGCAAGATGTGGAACAGATTACAGAGAGAGAAGTAGAGTAGATTGGATTGAGAAAACTGTCAGACAAGCTGGAAGATGTTGATAGAAGATAAAGATAAGCACATGGAGACAATTTAATAGATTTGATGGATGTTTGGGTGATATTACAAAAGAGGTTATGGAACAGCAAGGGAAAAGGATGTATCAAGAATGTGTTCTGGACTATGTATCTGACTGGGCAATAATGACACCCAAGCTAGTGGATGCAGAAACTTGCTTCAAACTTCAGTTAGAATTACCTCTGAAACATCTAAGAAAAGTTGTTGAGTAGCCAACTCAAAGAAGCATAAAATATGGTCATATGTACATCGCTATTGAGCCATTGTGATCTGCTAGGACTATCCTAGACATATACTCATTATTACAAACGAGGGAAACCATGGAGCCTATATTTCTTTGCGTTTGGTTTATTTCACTTAACATTTCCTTACAAATGGGGCGATGTCATTCTTTTTGGTGGAAGCATAGAATTCCATCGTGTATATATACCACATTTTCATGATCCATTAACCATATCAGATGTACTATGTGAAATGAACTCCAAGATATGGAAACAAGCAGTTTTTTCTTTGTTGTTGTTGGTTTTAATGTACTATGTGAAGTTATTTCTTTTTTTTTTTTCTTGCATTTTTTTCCTTTTGTCCCCTATGGTTTATCCCTTGCTGTCACTGTATTTGATTTGGGGACCCTGTGTATTGTATATATGTTTAGGGAAGGGAAAGGGGAACAACAAAATGGTGAGTCAAAGGACAAAGGGCAAATTAATGCAACAGTGATACAAGACAGCATGTTGGAAATGAACTGTACAACTTGGGGGGAGGGAAAGTGGAATAATTAGGGAGGAGGTAACAATGTTTGACAAAATATGTACTAACTACCTTATGTATATAACTGTAACCCCTCCATACATCAATGTGGCAGTAAAAGTAAAAAAGAAGTATAAAATATAAATTCAAAAGTCATCTGCATGTAGTTTACAATGAAGAGAGCTTGGAGGTGATATGTAGGAAAAGAATAAGTAGTAGTAAGCCCTGAAGAATTTTAAAGTCTCTGAACTCTGTGTCTAATGGCTGGGTAGAAGATAATGGATAAGCCAAAAAGACTGGAAAAGGACATTCCAGAGTGGTGACAAGAAAGTAAGAGAACTAGTGTCAGGAGAAGAATGTATAGAACTGTTGGAAGTGGTTGATAAGTGCTATTGAGAAATTTAGATAAAATGAGAAGTGAATGTGACTCTTTCTTTGGCTTCACATCAGCCATGGATAACTTTAATGAATGTTGTGTTTGGTAGAGCAATAGGCCTGAAAGTCACATTGAGTAGATTATAATATTGAGTTGCAAATGAATCAAAAGTAATGAAAACTGGATTTAAAAAGTTGACAGTGAATGAAAGAGATGAATAGCAGACAGGAGTAAAGACATTTCGCTTTAGTTTAGTTTTGTTTTGGAGTTGGATGTAGTGGGGCACACCTATAATTCCAGCTACTAGAATTTGAGGCCAGCCTGGGCCACATAGTGAGACCCTGGCTCAAAATAATGACCATTGCTTGTTTTGGCTTTTTAGTGAGCAATATTTCAGCAGGAACAAAAGAGAAAGAGAGAGGGATTGGGGAGAGAGAAGGAGGAAAGCTGGGAGGGGAGAGGGGAGAGATTTACCATGTTAACTAAGGAAAAACACTAGTAAAGAAACAATAGATATTAATGATAGTAGAAACAGGAGGGAATGAGCACAAAAGCATCAGTGGGAGATTAGAGGGTAGATAGTATTAGAAATAGCTCTTCAAGGGTTTAGTATTCCAACTGGTCCACAGCTTCTTCTGAGAGCTATAAGAAATGCTGAATCACTGGGCACCGGTGGCACATGCCTGTAATCCTAGCTACTCAGGAGGCTGAGATCTGAGGATTGCAGTTCAAAGCCAGCCTGGACAAGAAAGTCCATGAGATTCTTATCTCCAATAAATCACCAGAAAACCGGAAGTGGCACTGTGGCTCAAGTGGTAGAGTGCCAGCCTTGAGCTGACAAGCTGAGGGACAGTGCCCAGGGCCCAGAGTTCAAGCCCCATGACCGCCAAAAAAAAAAAAAAAAAAAAAAAAAAGCTGAATCTCTGAGTGTCCTTATTGAGTGTGAAGCTGAATTTAACAAGGTTTTCCAGATCATTCAGAATCAACAAGAATGAGTGAAATATAGTAGATTGGTAAAACTTGTACCCAAAATATGAACATGTGAAGGGATGCATAAGCATGAGCTACAAAGAAACAGGTGTTTCTTTGAGTCTGGCTTACTTCACTTAATATAATTTTCTCCAAGTCTTTCCATTTCCTAACAAATGGGGTGGTGTCATTCTTTCTGATGGAGATACATATATATATATATATATATATATATATATATATATATATATATATATATATATATATATATATAAATGGGGTGATGTCATTCTTTCTGATGG